AAACACAAAAGATAAGCTTTGGATTCTCTTAATAAAAAACTGGAGTGTCAATTAGGTATTAGGCACTACAATGCAAATATTTGCAGTCTTATGAATTATTGTGTTCCTTAATGAACTTTTACTTAACTTTTATTTTATTTTAACTTTTTATTGTGAACTGAGTGAAGATTTACAGACAGGATTATCAGTTTTACATTCAACCAATCATACACTTTGTTTCATCTCAATGACTGCAACACCCTCCCATGCAACAACCTCCTTCCATTCCAACCTCCTTCCCACCCCTTCTCAACTTTATCTTTCAATAAATGTTGCCCTTTTGATCCTGAATGATTAACCATTTCATGGTAAACATATACTATTCATGGTGTTGTTCCCCCTATATACCTGTCTACCACTTGGCTGACAACTGGGTCACGAGGGTGAGTTCTGTTTCAGACCTAAAGGGTGGTCCAGGGCAATAGTCTCAGGTTTTTTCCGTTTCTTTCTGATCAGAAAGTCCAGTCTTTTTTCTTTTATAACTTTAAGTTTTGTTCCACATTTTCTCCGACTCTCTCTGGGACCCTCTAATGGGATCTTTTCCAGAGCAGTTGCTAGTGGTAGTTGAGCACCACCTACTTCTCAGAGTCATGGTGGCTGATGTTCACCAATTGATTTCAAGCATCTTCAATTCCCATCAGTCTTCTTTCTTCTGCACATGGAGAGAGCAATAGCTGCACCTTAGATATCTGCTCATGAAGCAGTATTTCTCTTGCACCATCAGGGAAAAATGTCAATACAGTGAAAGCCAGCCAGTAACATTTTAGCATATTGTGAAAATAATACCAACCTTGGGGACTCCAACTGGTCTGGGGATCCCACTATCAGAACCAGCTAGGTGGTGGCTGGTGACAAGGTGGACTGGGCAGGCTCTAGTCAGTTTTGCTGGAGACTAATGAGAAATTCCCTTTGGGAAGTATTCATGCCTTAATTAATTTTAATGAAAGCTACAAGAGGAAGAAAGAAAAGGGGAATGCAATGGTGTCTTGATGAGATGAAATACCTGAAGAGGAGTGAGAAGGAAGCCAGTGCTTAGCTGTGTGACCACCTTCTGGGCACCACAACCAAGATTCTGGGACACCAAGACTTCAAGCATTCCTCCCTTTCTATGTGAAGACAGCAGCAAGCAAGACTGTTATCTTAGTGCCCTGATTTCGCATCTTGGCGATCATGCCGAAGCCTTACTAATTAAATACAAGGAATGATAAAAATATGAGTGCATGCATTGAATAATGATCTGAATAGGTCAAAAGAGGATGACGTTAGGATCTCCTAATCAAGCTCCACTGGAAGAAGAGCTCCCTTCATTAGTGTCTTCAGTTTTAGACTCTTGATTATTCTCCATTAGTCACCTGACTTCATCAGTAAGAGAACATGAGAACAGGGACTTTAAGCTTTGCTGGTGTACAGGGAACACAAGCCATGCCTCTTCCCTGGGTCTCCTTCAGAAGAGCACATGCATGTCATCATACATCTAGATCCAATAAAGGAGGCCAACTCAAAGCCTCTTCCTGTACAAAGGGATAACAGGAACTTTTAAATGTCAAATCCAGGCTGAAAATATTCCACCAATAAATAACGAAATATCTTAAAAGCACAGTTTTGTTTCAACTTACCCTCCCTGTTAAATTGGTTTTCCTTCTACTTTAACTCAATTTCCATTTTTAAGGGCTAGTGAATTTCAATGCAAACACAAATGACAAAATGGGTGAAGTGCAGTGGGGAGAAAGGCAGGTGTTAGGGAAGGTCCACAGTAGGTTCCCAGCTACCCCTGCCAAGTTCCTTACAGGGGGATCTTTCACTTAACTCTGTTCCATCTAACTTGGCCCAGGGGTGGAGGGCAAATGGGAACTGCAGCCTTCCTAGCAAATGGGTGCTTCTTCAGAATTCAGCCATAAGAACCCTTTTATTGATAAAACAGCCTGCGAGGAGGCACAGAGACCTCCTAGGAGATCATTTTAGATCCAGCTGATTTAATTTGATGGATACATGTGCCGCTTCAGAGCCTGGGCCTTGAACGATGACAGAGTACTACATTGGAGACTATTTTCCCTTTCTCTTGGAGAATGCACTCATCAGAACAAATTCAACAGAGCTATTCAGGCAACAACCACATGCTGTCCTAATGAGGAAGGAGACCCACAGCCTCAAAACTGAACTGAAAGAGTTTTGGATTCAGGGTTTGGAGACCTGTTTAAAAACAGCTGTTTGACTGAAGGCACTTTTTTTTTTTTTTGCCATCGTTTTGAACGACCCCTGTTTTCCATGAGTTGTAATCTGCGGGAGAGGCAGAGGCCTAGTTTTCTAGACCTGGGGATGTTGGTTGTTTTATTTTATGATTTTTTTTTTTTTTTTTAAAAAGCAGATGCTTTGAGACAGTGATCTCATCTGACTAAATGAAGTCGTGACTCGCTGCTGTGTGAGGCTTCCCGCAGCCATTAGGCAGCACATTCTTACCAGCAGCAAGACAGACTTTTAAGGACTAACTTCCACACATCTAAACAGCAGTGACACATGTTCTATTTTATAACCTCCTCCTTCCAAGCAGTGCAGGATCAGATACACAGTCATCACCCTCCCTCCAGATTCTAACAGAGCCGGGAGATAAACATGCCCTTCTTTGCTATTCCAAGGTAAATGGATTTGAGGAATTATAGGACCATCCCCTGGGGAGGAAAGGCTAAGGACACTGCACTAGGCATGCACCATAGGCTCATTAAATATGGATTAAATTACTGACATCTTCTTCCCTTTAGGCCAGAGCTTGGAGAAAATATTAATATACAATGCATTAATGATAACGTAGGTTGAAATGTAGTTGTCTCCCTTTGGCAACTAAGAAAAGCTGTCTGTCTGCCTCTCTCCCCACCCACCCAACCTCAGCAAATATACAAGCCTTCTTGGCCAAAACCAAAACCCAAACCCACTGCTACAGAGTCAATTCCAACTCACAGAGACCTTATGTAAGATTTCTGAGACCATTAATCTTTACAGAAGCAGACAAGCTCATCTTCCTCCTATAGAGGGCTGGTAAGTTTGAACTGCTGACCTTATCATTCCAGCACCTACCCACAGTGCCACCTGGGCTCCTTAAGTCTTCTTGGCACACCCTATTATATATTAATTTCATTCCTGGCTCCTATTTTGTTTTGTTTTCCTTTCCCTTCTAGCTTTTATATTCTCTTTGCCTTTTCTTTCTTGCTTTATTCTGCTAGACTGTATATCTCTTTCCAAAGGCTTTCAATCCATCTTGAAACAATACAGCATATAAATAGATACTGTAACTAAATTTTTTTCCCCAGACCAAATACTGGGGTCACATGACATAATTTCATCATGACGGTTCTCTTCAAGATTGCAGAACTGAGTATTGAAATCAATATCTGAAATGGCATTCAGTCCTGGAAAATTCAGAACGCATATGCACCCTGAGTAAATCTGTGCCCCTGAATGGTACCGGGATCGCCCTGGCACATTCAGCTCACACTCCCAGTTTAGTTCAGATTATGAAATTCCCAAACTCAATAATGACAGTCAACTTCTAATGAGGAAACTAATTTTAAACAAGGTAAATCTGAAGCAACGAATGTGGCTGGCCACCTCTAGAAGTAACCCCACTCTAAAATGTTCCGATGATGTCTAGAGATGGTCGTTAATGAAGACGGGGACAATGTCCAAGAAGAATCTGAATGAACGAGCTCCCTATTTAGGCGCTGTATTGAAAGCACATGAAATCCAATCAACTGTATTGTGCCCTGCCCACAGGAGAGGGTACCCTGACCCACAGGCAGGGCTGTGCTGTCCACTTGGCAGGTACAGCACACTGTTAGAAATGGATGCACTGGAACGATATTGGGCATTAAAACTCATTCAACTCTCTATTCTCAGAGTTGGGGTTCATCAGTCAACCTTCTAACTATCGTCGAGATATCTCTAGACTTCCCCAAAGGGGAGAAAACCACCCACAGCATTCTAGTCTACTGGACATTGCCTTTCCCCAGTCAAATCTTAAGTTGACAAACTGACATTTTATACATAAGACTTACAACTTTTGTTAGGCAATTCAGGGAAATCATTCAAACAAGTTCACATTTTTAGATTCCCCACAAAGAACTAAGGGAACAGGGTAGCTCTATAGGATAAGCACTAGATTGCAAACCATAAGGGTGGCGATTCAAAACCATCAGCTGCTTTGCTATAGAAATATAAGGCTTTCTGTTCCCCAAAGATTTACAACCTTGGACAATCGATACAGGGTTGCTCTTTGTTGGAACCGACTTCACAGCAATTAACAAAAAGAAGACAGAACTAAGGGCTAAATTCAGTGACCCCTCTAAGTCACTCCCAGCCGGAGACCAGCCTCCAGATGAGTAAGCTAAATCTCTCAGAAAGAGCTGGGGACCCAAGCCCTTTTATAGAAAGATCTCTACTCAGAGAGGCAGCGTCCATCCAGATCATACCACATACATACTAAAGACATGAAGCAAAAGCTACAGCCTTGAATAGAAAGTGATACAAATGAGGTTAACCTCCCCACACCTCTGCAACCCCCCGCCAGCCCTCCCCAAACAAAAATAAAGGACATAGGAAGACCTCAATTTTGTTTTTTTTTTAAAAAAAGACTGTAAACTGAAGCCCAAGACCCAGTAAACAACTTGGCTGATATGGGCATTTTAAATACAATGTTGAATATTTTTAAAAGAGGGAAGCTACATAAATGAAGGGGCAAGTTTTCAAAGTTAATTAAGGAAACCTTGGATACTACAGTGGATTTAAGATACTAATAATGCCAATGAAGGAGACGTCAATGGAAGCCAATTTTCGGCCCATTGAACATCTCTGAGGATCCGTTTTTCTTGCTTAGACTGTTGAAGCGTGAGCAAATGTCCTTGGGTAGTATCCCCACTGCTCAGCTCAGCTGAGTCCACCAGCAACATAAAGGCGCCGCTCCCCAGACCTACCGTGAGCGCCTGGATCTCTTCTTCTGCTTCTGCTGTGGTCTCCTCCAGCTCCGTCTTTGCCTGGCGAAGCTGACTCTCCAGGGCTGCCCGGGCAGCCTGCAGGGCCGTCAGCTGGGATTCACGCTCCTGAAGGGAGAGCTGTAGATCCGTGAGCTGGCGCTTTAGCTCCAGTTTCTGCTCCTCGTGTTCCAGGCTGACCTGAGAGACATACAAATGCCTAGGTGACCTGAAGGCCAAACCACAACCTGCTAGTCAACTTGCAACTTAAACTTGGTCTAGGAACTGAGTTCTCAGTACCCAATGGAGCAGAAAGAAGAAATCTGGTAAAACAGGTCTGGCTTCTAAGAGTTTCAAAAATTATCAGGAAAGGGAGAATATGCATGAAGCCATACATACAAACCAGCTCTGACTTGCAACTCATGTGTAAAAAGAAATACAGGGATGCAAGACAGCCTCTGCAAGGTGGGGAGACAACAATGAAAGCCAGTCATTACCATATGCCAGGGTCAGGACACGTAGGAATGTAGCAGGAAGGCAGCAGAAGGCAGAGGAAAGAATTCTGGATCTCTGTGTTATATAGCCTTTACCTAAGTAAACCAAGCAAAGAAAAGCAGAAGAGAATTCCAGTCATGAGAAGTCCAAAGGCATGGAGGCAAGGGAAACCATGGCATGTCCATTTACTGGCCTAAGTCATCTTAGGGACCAGACACTGTGTTTGGGCATTGGGGATACTAAGCAAATAAGAGATGTTTGCTGCCCTTGGGAGAGCTTACTGTCTATCAGGGACTGCCAAGAGATAAACAAGTGATAAAGGAAGGAAAGAAGGCTGTGGGGACTCATAAGAGACATCCAATGCAACTTCAGAGGGTCAGAGAAGGTTCCCTAGAAAAGATGGCATGCAAGTCCCAAAGGTCATAGAGAAGAAGAGAAGAAAGACTTGCAAAAGATTTCGTTTATACAACCAAAATGATTGAATAGCATCATCAAGGGAGGGCAGGGAACCAAAGAGGGAACTCCCAGGTTTGGGGGCACAAGAATTAGATAGATGTGAGATTATTAGGTAACAAAGGGAACATGAGGGAAAGAGTCAGTCTGAGGAGAAAGATGAACAATTCTGCTGAGCTTGAACTGCATAGGAGACATCCAAGTGGAGATGTCTAAAGTCTACTGGGAAAATGGGTCAAGGAACTCAAGAGAAAGGTCTAGGTTGGTGATAATAATGAAAATAGAAAGCATATTTGTAATACAAAGGCACTGGGTTAACTCATTTCATCTTCATAACAATCCAATAAGCAAGATGCTACTATTACTACATTTTACAGACGAACGCACTGAGAGATTTAGTTGCTGAACAAATATCACACAGCTGAGACTGGCAAGGCTGGCTTGGGCACAGTGCCTTGCGGTCTGATTAAAATGCCAGCAGTTAGAGCAGTACTGCACTCCACCAGTCTGAAAATTACCAATGCCACTTGGCAAAACCTCAAGTGGTGGGAGGCTGCAGGTCAGTGGAGGAGGGAGAGCGGGACACCATACAATGAAGGGGAACCCAGGCATCCTGCATCTTTCCAACTGCACACTCCTTGCTAAAGCAGTATTCACCCTGAACCACAAATAGGGAGAAAGTTTAGGGCTCTTAAAGGAGGATCAAACTTGGGGAGGTGGTCTCTGCCCCCATCTCAATAGCAGCATGTGGTGAAGCGAAGATGGACTGCCTTGCTACATTTCAGCTAAACTCTAGAATTCCAAGTGATAATGTACAGCCCTGAGCTTCAAAGAAGACACTTTAAGACACATCTACCATCTTTGGCTGGTGAGGGGAATGGAGGAGGTGTGGGGAACTAGCTAAATCCAATCAAGTAAAAAGCTACAAGCTTCACCTGAAGCATCTTAATTGCCCCTCTGTTCCTGAAAAAAGAAAAGGTAAAAGTCGGCCACTATTCGAGCACTTCTGAGTTGTTTATGCCTAGATTCTTCTATCATTTACTCAAAAGCAAAAGCAGAGCCTGGAAAATAGAAGTGAAACAACCAGTTTAGGCTCTGAGACCACTCAGAACAATACTTTTCCAACTCCATAGTGATTAAAAATCAGCTGGGAAGCTGGTTAAACACAAATCCCCGCGCCACTCCCGCCTCCCATTCCATCCCAAAAAGCCCAGGATGAGACACACCAGGTCCACCATATGACAACCTCTGAAAGACACAGGACAGTAGTTTTTCTATCCTTTGGAGAACTCCAGTACAAGACCCTCCAGAACACAAGTACTCCCCCTGGGCTTAGGCCTCAGCCCTCTGTCTACTGGCTTTTCTTTAAGAAGGGTCACCTGCTCTCTGCAGGATTCCATCGCAAGCATGCAAGCACCTGGTTGGCCCCACACCATTCTCCACTCCAGGCCTGGAGGCCTGGCTCCCTATGACTGTTGTTTCTGAACGCCACTCCTGCTTCTGCAGGTGCCACTTTGTCACCCTGCCCACCAAGTTGGAAGCCCACAAGGTCAGGCAGTAGGTCTGCCTTGTCCACCATCATCCGCCCAGTCCACTTAGCTCGCAGTTAGTGTATTTATATGGCGATTGAGTTACGTGAATGTTATGCAAGAGCTCTAGTCACCTTCAACATGTGTACAGCCAAATCTGCTGTATTTTCCTCCCTAAATCCTGCCTGCTCCATCCAAGCTGCCTTACATCTATTAAGATAGTCACCTCCCCTCACTGGCGTCCATACTTAAAACTCTACTTCGGTTGTCGGTAGCAGTCCTGCATCACTAGTTTTGAGCTTAGGCTGAAAGAACATCCTGCTGTACACTTATTGAGTATGTAGATGCCAATGAGAGGGTCTTGCAGTGTCCCCATTTTACAGATGCACCCAGCTAGATAATCCCCGCATGGAGGTGGACTCTGGACCCATGTGCATAGTCTTTTATGCTTGAGACCTGGCAGGTTTGGGGGCCAGGTCCCCAACACATCCTCTTGGGAGATCATCCCTCCTGCTCACCTCCCGCAGCCTCGTCTCTAGCTCCAGCAGTCGATTCTTGTCGCTGTGGTCCTGGTGACTGATTTTTTCCAGCTGCTCCTCTAGCTTTCGGTTCTGGGCCTCCAACTTTCCAGCCTGTGTCTCCAGGTAGAACTTCTGTTGTCTGAGCTCTGAAATCATCTCCTCCTGAGCCTTCCTGGTGGAGGGGTCCAAACAACAACAGAGTGTTCTGAGAAGGCAGCCTGTGCCCTTGGAAGGGCAAACAAAATCCTTATTTAAAGGACCATGGCCATTCCTGGGTTAGCACTAACTGGTCTGGCTTTGAGTGCATGATCCCAGAGAAGGGACCCTGGAGAGCACTCAGTCCTTGATGCTTCTGCCTGTGAGGTTACTCAGGCATGGGGCAGGGTCCAGAAGGACACTAACACTTCCCTCCTTTGGTGGAAAAGGAGACAGGAGCATCCCTGGAGTACCAGAGTGCTTGGAGGTACTCCTATTGGAGGTACCAAGGAAGGCATAGGGAAGAGAAAAGCTGCTATTTTCTCTAGTTCTCCAAAGAGCTCCCCAGTTCTGCACCAGACTGATCAGAACAACTCAGAGAACAGCAGCAAAACACAGCCTAAGAAGCTGGTGTGAATTAAGATGGGAATGTTCTGGAAGATCTGTGAGAGAGATCCAAGGAAAATAAATTCTGGAGATGGAAATTCTTTGAAGGAACAGATTAACATCAAAGTACTAGTAGAAAGAGGAATTATCTGATCATCCCTGAGGAACCCCAAACTTCGTCCCCTGGGGCCTAACCTAACAACCACAAGATAGATAGCACAACTGGTCCCAAACAAGCTCACCTCTGACTAATTACGCAGATCTGGAGAACAAGGCCTGAAGAGTTCCAAAAGCAAGCTATAAATAGCCTCATTAGAGACAGTGAAACACTCTGTAGTCTGATGGCAATTTGAGACATTTAAGGAAAACCAACTGAAAAAAAGAGGACTCCATCGAGTGAGACCACGTAACAGCGGCCAAAATTCCATGAGGATATGCTGGTGGGCCGAACTACAAAAGTCACTAGACTCTGCTCCAGCTCCAGTTCCATCGGGCAGGAGGACAGAGAGCTGATGGCCCAAGACAGGAGACTAGAGTGCACTAACACACGCAGTCAGGATTGGAATACTTACATGTTCCTCTGGGTAAAAAGACTGCTATTTGCCGCAAGCTTATTGGCTTCGGACAGTTCCACAATCCTCTGCTCCAGGGATCTGATCTTGGAATCCATAGCATTGATCATCTGAAAACAGAGAGCTCTTTTTAAACCTGGCACACAGATGGTTACACCATGGGCCTGGGTAAAAAAATCTTGTCTGAAATGCAGGCAATGTGGACAGGGGTAATGGGGGACACTCAGTCTTCAGCATGAGGACCATAGGTATTACTGCTCAAACAGATGGCACTGAGACTAAACAACTCCACACTAGCTCAGTGACTGACTTGCAATGAAAATATGAAGAAGAATCTATTCAGGCCTTGGTTAAATGCACGTGACCTGAGTCACTAAACAGGCAATCTGAAAGCTAGAATTTTATAAGGACTTGGGGGTGCCATTTTCTGAGTTATTCCTTCTCACCCAGCCATAACTATCCAGGATTCTCTAATCAAAGTTTCGCCAAAACTTCATGAATCTTAAGAACCAGGTGGGATGTTGGTTAAACTATAACTTCCCAATACCCTCCCTTAAGAGATTCTGATGTGGGAAGTCTTGGTGGGTCTGAGAGGCAGGTTAACAAGCACCATAGCTGACTCTTAGGAGTGGTCAGTTTCTGAAACCATAGGCCACATGACAGAAAAGAGAGGAAGAGAAACACAAAATAAAAAGCAGACAAAATGAGCGAACCAGGGCCACTGGGCCTTCTGTTAAATAGAATAACTTTGAAGGGCAACATTCTAGCTGTTGGAAGAATTCTAGTTGCTAAATTCTTGAAGAAGAACATGAGAGAAAGTTGGCCACTAACTCTCCTGCTTTTAGGAGAGGAAGCAGTTACAGAGAGAGCTTCCTGGTATTTACAAACGCCACAGGATTAAACAGGAAGAATAATTCACCAGATAAAATGGTTTCTTTCTGGCATGCAGTTCTTGGTGTGTTTCAATCACCCTCCTTTGAAGACTAACTGGGTGGTTCCTTATACCTACCGCCTTCTGCTCGCTGAGAATTTTGCCTTTCTCATGGGCTTCCTCTTCGTGCCTTTGCATCATATTCTCCAGGGTCTCCTTATCGGCCAGGTCTTTCTTGATCTGACTGTCCAACACCTACAAGAAACAAAACAAATCAACATTCAGAGGAGCAAACCTGAGCAGGAACGACTAAACAGGGGCGTTACAGGAGGGTCATGCAAGGAAAAGTGAAAAGAAAGGAGGCAAAGAGCTGAGATGAGGGCAAAGCCTCCCAAACCCTGGGGCAAGGAGAGGTATTGGGAACCTGGATGAGGTTCAGAGGCCAAAAAGTACCATCAAATAATGGTAGATTCTAATTAAGAACTTATTTCAAAATCAACAGCCAAAATGTAACAGATGAAGAATATTCAAAATGGAAGTGAATTCCAGAAAAAGGGCAAGAAAATCTCTAAAGATTTAGGGCTAGAGGATAAAGTTCTTATATTTGCAGATATTACTTGGGGACACAGCCAATGCACTAGCAGTATAGTATGTTTCAGAACATTCCTCGCTTTTAATTTGGTCAGAATTAATTCTGGATAACCCTGGGCTGCGTGCAGAGTGAGAGCAAACAAAAGACAAGGGAGATCTGTATCACCTGGTGAAGGCTCCAAAACAGCTCAGGCTAGAGGATTTTGCCAGCAATAAAATAGTTGGACAGCCAATAGATTGAAAAGCAGCATAAAAGAAATACAGGGAAAACAGTTTCTTCTGTTCAGTCTGCTGGTCCAGCTCGAGAGAAAAGAGTCACTAGGAAGAGGAACCTTTCCCCAGGGAAGAGGAAGCAAGTGTTTTTAATGCTGAGAACACCACTGTAAGCACCTACTGCTCCCAAGTGGGGAAACAATCAGAAAACGGTACTGGTGTGACCATCCACCAGCTAGCTCTACTGTAACACAGTCCTACCAGGTGCCAAAACAGCAGACAAAAGAAAAAGAAAAAAGAGAGCTAACATCATAACTTGTCCAAGCCTTTGACCGCAACCCTGTATTTCTGATCACAGAGAATCCACACTGCTATTCCAAGTGACACCAACTGCATCAAGAAGGACAACAGGGTGTTGGGAATAAAACGGAAAGAATTGGGTTCACAAAAGGAACTGAAATCTGTTTTTCCACCATGTCTATTGTGAAGAGGCCTTCAGAGTTCATAATGACATCTTCCCTAAAAAGAGCCAGCCAGCAGGGAGGAGCCGCATGATGAAGAAAGGAAAGAGCAAACTTCAAAGAGGGCTTTAAACTAGAACCAAATGGTGGAAAAAATAGAATGGGAGTTGATGGAGAAGAACAAAAGGTGGAGAACAGGGTCATGAGGAGGGAAGATGCTCAGTAGGCTAAGTGACCCACTCTCTTGGGTGTCTTAGCGTGATTCTAAAATTATGAGCACATTATTATTACTAAAATGATCTCACAGAGCTGGAACAGGAAGCACAAAGAAGAGCAGACTAAAAAGAAATGGTTTTCTAAAGAGTCCAGTAGGGAAGACAGACGAGAACAGATCTTTCCCTAAAACTACAGAGAACCTAGAAAATCCAATTCCTTCCAACTAGAGGGTAGCAGAGACCACCTAATATCTACACCATGTAACTCTTTTCCACAAAGTGTCAAAGTGATGAAATACATTTCAAGATGACCACCCAAAATAAGATACCAACGTTGGCAGAGATGGATGCCAGTAAGTGGGTACAGAAGAGACAAGGCTCTAACAAGAGTGTATGCATCTCAGTCTTGAAAGGGTTAAACTGGAAGAAGGACGAACAAGAAGATATGCAGTAAAAGTGAGAGGAAGAAAGGAATTTGGTAAAATGGGAGATTCCACTGTAGACTTCTAAATCAATCTCAGACAGAATGCCATATATTTTACAAAAAAGTCAGGTCATCCACATCGCAAGATAAATATTACAAAGGGTCATATATTCACTGTGTATTGTGATCAATGATCAATGAATGGCCATATTCAGTCTCATAATTTTCTTCAATTTAGTTTCTTTCTAAGACAGAAGTCTAGAAGTCAGTAAGAATTCAACTAAAGTGATTGGTAAGTTGTTGCTGTTCAGTGACATTGAGTCGAATCTGACTCACAGCAACCCTGCATAAGGTTGCTGAGTCTGTCAATCTTTGCAGGAACAGAAAGTCTCATCTCTTTCCCACAGAGCAGCTGGTGGGCTTGAACCCACCTTGTGGTTTGCAGTGCAGTGCTTATTCTACAGAGCCACCACATTCCTCAAAGAGATTGTTATATAAAGTTTGAAATACACTAAACGTAGGTGGTCAGACTAGGACATTTAGAAGTCCCTTCTGGATTACTTGTCTATATTTCTGAAAGTAATCTTAGGGTAAAGAAAAAAGGGGCCACAGTGGTGGTTGTGGTAGAACTGCACTGAGTGTGAATATAAATGGTATGGCTCCCCAAAGAAGAGACCATCAACTCTTTGAGAATACCAACCAGATCAACAACAGAACCATCAGGAAACTTCAAAGCCTCCTTCAATGGCTAATTTATCAAGAAAATAAGTAAGAAGTAAAGGCTTGGCCCAAAATTATAATGAAAATGTGATGTGATTCAAAAGAAAATGTAAAGGCTACCATCCATTTCTGATAATATGTTCAGTTAGATTATTCAAGGCAGCTCTCCTTCTGCAAATGAATTAAAGTATATGATGTAAATATAAAAAGGGTACAAAAAGCTGGCTTTATTCTGAGGAATGTGGTAAACCAAATAAAACCGAATTTCAGTTTTGAATGTCTGAGAAAGTAAGAGGAAGAGAGCCTAGAGCCATACTCCAAGGTTTGCACATATTTTCATCCAGGGTCTCAAAATAATTCTCACTAATAGTTTTCCTACGAAACTGAACATCTCACCAAACACATAAGGAGATAAAACAACAACAACAACAAAAAGTGCACTGCCGTCAAGTCGATTATGACTCATATTGATCCTGTACAGGGTTTCCGAGACTATAGCTCTTTACAGGAGCGGACAGTCTCATCTTCCTCCTTTGGAGAAGTTGGTGGGTTTGAACTGTTGACCTAGCAGTTCAATGCCTAAACCACAGCACCACCATGAAAAGGAACCAGTAAAACAGAGCAGAAATAGACCTTCAAATATTTCAGATATTGGAATTATCAGACACAGTTTATAAAACCACAATGCTGAAGGTGTTTAGAGAAATAAAAAACAAGTTTGAAAATGGAAGGAACAGAAAATTGTCTTAAATAAATAAACTATTAACTTGGGAAAGAACCAAATAAAACACCTATGAATGAGAAGCACTTACCGAGAATGTAGCAGAGAGAGATAAAGAAATGGAAAACATTTTTAAAAGACAGTTTGGAGGTGAATTAACACATGACTAATTCAATTTTCAAAAGGAACAGCGAGAAGGAGGAAGAGACCATATTTGAGGTATAGTGTTGTTAGGTGCCGCTCAGTAGGTTCCAACTCATAGCAACCTTTTGCACAACAGAACAAAACACTGCCCAGTCCGAGGTACAATAGTCAATAATTTTCTATAGCAGATAAAAAAAACAAAAACAAAAGACACTCAATCCCAAATGTCCATCAATAGCATGCAGAAAAAAAAGAAATCCACATCTAGACATATTACAGTAAAGCTGCTGAAAGACAAAACTTTTTTTTAACACAGCCAGTGAAAAAAGGATTGAGTACTTTTGAAAAAGTCAACAGTTAGACCAACTGCAGACTTCTCAACAGCAACAATGAAAGCCAAAAGTCAATGGAATTGCTATCGTCAAGGAATGTTACAAGAAAATGACTGCCAACCTCAGAGTCTAGTCAAAATATCTTTCAAGAATGAGGGTGAAATAAAGACATTTTCTGGCCAACAAAATAAAGAGCTTGTGCCTAGTGGAGTCTCACTACAGAATGTTCTCAAAGATATATTTTAAATATAAGGAAAAGGACCCAGGGCTCAGAGTCAAGAAACTTAAAAGCAAAGAGTGTAGTGACTTTCGGCTAAATAGAAATTATCATTAACTGAATGACTACGGGGTAAGTGCAT